GGGTGGAGGGTGGAGGGAGGAGGGAGAAGTAAAGGGCGGTGGGGTTGTGGAAAAGGAGGGGCAATGTCAATCACGATGGCTGGCCACCTCGGGTGGTGGCGAAGCATGGCGCCTGCCCCACATCCCCAACAGCTGCGAGGGAAACCAGCTGCTACCTACCGCTGCTTTAGGTGGTTTGCGTAGCGCTATGTACTTAGCGCATTTATATATGTTATACATATATATGTGTGTGTGTCGCTGTGTGTCCTGCACCATGCGCTTGTGTTGGGCTCCACTTCTTGTAGCAGCCGCATGTGACCCCGCCAACAGCGGGTGGCTGTCTTACGAAAGGAGACATCTGTTGTTTTGCGCCGAGGAGAACCCCCGGGAGAGATCTTTCACTCGCAAAGTGCGGAGAAGTATGTGTATGTGCGTGAAGAGGTGTGCGATCGCCCTGTGGCCTTCTCTGGAAGCCGAAACCAAGTCAGTGCCCGTCCAAGCCCCTGCCAACCAGCTGCCCCACCACACACATAGCCCTAAGACACCACCCAATACTCCATCCACCCACCTCATCGACATCCCGCCGCTTAACCTGTCCCGCAGGCGTCTTTTCAGCCGCAGGCTTGGCCTTGGCGGCCTCCTGGGGCGGCCGCTCCGGCTGCGTGCCGCATCGGAGCACCTCCTCCAACTCACGATCTGCACATTTGGCCACCATCATCCACACACAAAGTCCCCATCAAAATTTCAAATTCCAGATCGTGGTCGTGATTTGATTTGGGTCAGGAATTCTGCATGTATGGCGCAGCAAGCCAAGCTGCTGAAGGCGGCAGTAACGGCTCCGGTCACAATCGCGGCAGCCAGAGGCCCAGGTCTAAGGAAGGGAAGAAGAGGCGAAGGGCGGGAACGCTGGCCGAACTAAGACCGACACCAACAGGCGCCCGCTGCCGCCGTCAATCACAAAGCCACGAAAGCCGAAACCCGTCCTCTTCCAACCCATCCCACCCGAGCTTAACCGACCCCGGATCGCCGGCCCAGCGCTCAGTCAGCACTGCTCCCTGGCAACGAAAGCACGAAACCCTTCCACCCCCCTCTGTATGGGCTAACGTGGCTAATGACCGACGTTTCCGAAGCGGTTGTGACATGTTCCCCCACCCTGCACTGACCGCTCAGGGACAGCTGCCACAACAGCGGGTTGCTGACTGGCACCCGCAGCACTTTCACCATCACGAACACTGTGTGCATGCACAGCTCCTTGCACGTGCCGTTGGCTCCCACTGGGGAGCTGCGTCGGGCGGGAGAGAAGGGGGAGACGGGAACAGGAGATGGGGAGAGGGAACGGAAGGGAAAGGAGGGGGGAAAGGTGCAAGCCGTACCGAGGACGGGAGGGATGAGAGGAGAGAGCTACGCGCGGGGGAACAGAGTTTCAGGCATTGATTTTGTTCGGGAAGGCAAGGAGTGGAAAGATCCGGAGATCTAGATGAAATCCCCAAGTGCAAGGTGGCCGTGGCGGGGGCTGGAATAATGCCATGCTGCCCCTTCTTTCCTTCCCTCCCATCCATCTTATTCCCCAGCAGCGCGAAAAAATGACTTGCGCGCGGCAGCACGAGTAAGCAACGAAAGACACGATGTCTTGTCTACCTCTCGCCTCCGGGATGTGCACCAGTGCTTTACCCATACAGTTAGGGTCAGTTAAGCTGTTGGTACATTTCTGTTTCTCTCTTGCCACGTGGACACGGCGCCTATGGGCCACGCGGCCATTGGAACGCCACGGAATATCCCCAAACAAGTCACGATGATGTTCCCGTCCGAGTGCAGTGTTGGGCTGTCTACTTCGCGACAATAAATATGGGCCATTTCCACCCAAGCAACATACATGTCACCGCCACTACTATCCCCAGCAGATGGGCTAATCGGGTGAGGACTAGGGACCGCCCTCTGCCTTGCTAGGGTTATGCGAAGCCGTTGCAGAGCCCATGGCATTTGGAAAACGCGCGCTCGTTGCAACTCTTCGGGGTGTGAATGCGGCATCACTGACAGCTGCAGGGCTGTGCATGATGGAGCCGGATGGGAGCGCGGAGGTCCAACGTGTCGATGAACACGGTCCCCAGGGCCCGAGGCTTAGCACCTGCTGGCCGGCTTACCAGGAGCAGCTTATCCGAGACCCAATTTGCACCTTGCGCTTCACTTCGCTCCCTTCCTCTCTTACAATAAAGGACGTTGGTCCTGGCCGCTGTACCAAAAAAAATTGTACTGTACGGACCTGATGCAGAAGGTCTACCACCTCCTATGGTGTGAGGGACAGGGAAAGGGGGGATGTGATGGGAATGGAGAGCCATGGGCAGGGGCCAAGGGCTATCCTCCCCAGCGGGAAACGCGGCGCGTGCATGTGACGAGAAGCCAGAGGGTTAGGTATCGACAGGCTATAACCACGTTATAGCATGCTTCACTTGCAAGGGCTGAGGATAAGAGGGCACCCAGAGCTTCATGACTGGGCATTTGGGAGCACCAGAAGAAGTGTTTTCCCAGCCGCACCTGAGACGGCTTTGGCCGCCAAGGAGAGACGCGTTCGGCCATCGCAATGCCAGAACTCAATGCTGCGAAACTATCTACGAGGCGAACATGAACATGGCGAAGGTAAGTGCTTTGGGGCCCCAAAAGTTAAGAGTTTCATTGCGACCACCTTGCATCATTCAGTAAGCACTTGACAATATGTGACACATTTTTCACTCCAACACTGCAATAATCGTAGCTGTAAGGATGTACGGCAACGGGCCTGCTTAACATGAAACGGCTTTGCGTTTGCCATTGGGGAAGGCTGTCTCATTGCGCAGTTTATTTTCACCTTACAGACAATTTTGTAACCTTAGGCATCACAGGAGCTTTAGGTTGCCGCCCTCGTGGGCCTCGGCACGTTAGGAAAGACTTAAGATGGCCGATAGGTTTCCTCCACCTGGTATGAAGGCAACACAGGTGATGCATGGCGGTCAGATTAACTTTCTTGCGTCTGCTTTTTGCAGCGCCAAGTCGCTTGCCCGTCAGTGCCCTTAGTTGGTTTGGACCTTCTTTCGGGAATATGCTTTGCTTTCCAGCTTGCATCTTGATTGGTCGTCTTCGTCTTGTAGGAGCAACTGGACGCTGCTGATGTCCCGTACCATTACCGGGACTATTGCGCTCACTTGTTCATTGATTACAAGGAGTGCCGCCTCACAAGCGGGTTTTCATGGAGGACCAGTTGCCACCATGAGCTGCATGCGTACAACAAGTGCGAGTACAAGGAGTTCAAGGTTTGTGTTTTTGGCCCCGTGCCTCGCCCGAAAGTGCAATGCGGATATGGATGGCGTTTCCCTAATGTTGCCCCCCATGCATCTTGTGGCGTAAATATAAAGGCCCATGCTGTCCCTGCAGGAAACACCGTACGTTTGCCGCCGCTGCGTGTATTTGCACCAATTAATCACGTGTTTTCCTGGTCCTTTCCCATCCGCCTGCAGCGCCGGGTTGCTATTGCCATCGAGGAGAAGCGCAGGCGCGGCCTCATTACCGCTTGATTAAGACGGCTTGACTAGGACTGCGACGATTAACACAGCGGGAAGCGGACGGGGACACATCCCTGTGCACTCCCATGCTGGCGCATGACTTAAATGTAGGTTGATGCTTTCAAGGCGCAACCTCCATGGCTTATGATAATGTCCAAGAGCTCGTGGCAGGGCCTGGGTGGACTTCTGGGTGTGTGGGCGGCTCTGTAGGGTGTGTGCCTGCCGGTGTGTTCGTTTGATGCAATTTACAAGTGGGAAGCGAAACCCAATGAGGTCTTACGTACCGTAAACCAGGCCTCGGGGTATTTTATGTGTGGTATTGCAGTTTAACATGGGTGTCGAGGGTTCTGGAGCTTGTCGTCAGTACACTTCACTGGCAGCGCCGATTATACGAAGCACCATATTCTTGCTATATATCGTGCTCCGATGACTTTTGTAAACAAATTATGCAATTGCATTCAATAACGTTAGACACAAAATGTTCTTGGCACCAACCAAGGGGGTGTCAATGGTAAAGCGTTCGTAACAAACACTAGACCAGGATCATGGACGGCTACTAAGTGCTTTTTCGTTCATGCTTATAAACATGGCGGATGCGGGCGTATCTTCAGCGCTGTCGTCGCCCGTTTTTCAGCATTTTTTGGTAGCAATCAGTGTCGCGGTTATCCTCGCGCCCTTCAGCTATTACATGGGCATGGGAGCCCGCATCTTAAAGTTACCACAGATCACAGGCTACCTTGTATCAGGAATTGTATGTGGCCCCTACTTGCTTGGAATCCTGTCGACGGAGTCAGTCGTTGACCTCAACATCATAGAAGGCGCCTGCCTTAGTATAATCGGCCTGGCAGCAGGAGCTGAACTTCATCTTAGTGAGCTCTCTAGGAGCAAGAAGCAGGTAACTTGGGTCAGGTGCCCAGGCCCCTCGCAGAAGTATAAATTGAAAACACTTGTGCAGGTACTTGGGATTACATTCGGTATCTCTATAGCGACTTGGGTTCTCTGCTATGGTGCGCTGGAGTACACAAGCGGGCTACTGCCGAAGTTAGGTGAACTGGATGAGTCGCACATAGTGGCGGTCGCCTCGCTGGGCGCGACGCTCATGATGGCGCGTTCACCGGCGTCTGCGGTGAGTCAGTCGCCCGTTGACGTTGCGTTCATGTATGCACCGCTGCAGGGCCTTCACTCCGCGTCTTGTTAAGTCCCTTGTGCTGGCCCAATTGGGCCCTCCCCGTAACCCCCGTACACTTGCTTCAACCAGCTGCTGCACGTGAAAAAGTGGGGGCATGCGCTAGGAAAGGACGACCCCGGCCAGCCGTGCTCGCCAGCAATCTGGCTAGCTGTCATGCACCTGGGCTAGCCATGAATGCTGTTCACGATTCTGACCATGATTACCCTTCTAGGTTCTATTCCTTACCCCAAGAAGTCCGGCACGAAGCTCCTTGCTCGTTTGCTTTGCTCACGTGTGGGGCGAAGGGACGCGTCAATGGCCGAGAGTATGATTTATTTCTCTCCCCTGCCACGTCATCCGTGCAGATCGCCGTGCTCAAGGAAATGGATGGAAAGGGGCCGTTCAGCTCGTTGGTCATGGCGGTGGTGGTCGTTAAGGACGTGGTGGTCATCATTGCGTACGCTATCAACGTGGAGCTCATCCGCGGGGTAAGCCTGTAGCTGGCTCGTGTGCTCTGTTCACTCCGCCGTCACAGATAAGGATAATTTCAGCAGATGCCGCAGACAGTCAGCGCCCAATGTGCAGCTGCCAGATGTGAGATGCCAGATTCCCTAAGGGCATGCTCGCAGTGCTGCTTATTCCTGCCGGGGCCTTCCTGCTCGCTGGGTTGAGGCGGCCCTCAAGGCATGGGCCCGAAGGCGGAAAGGCACTGGACAGGACGCGGCGAGGAAAGCCGCAGCCGCTGCAGCAGCGTGATGGTTGCCGCAGCGGACACATGGCACCAGCTGACGCGATGGGGCTTTGCCGGTGTTGCAGACCACAGGCAGCTGGACTAGCACCTCTACCCGTTGTGCGTGCTGCACCTTGGGTGCCATACGTACCACTAATTCGCCAGTTACATTCCCACAGTGTGGTGAAGACTAGGGCGATGCGGCATCAGCACCTCTTAAGTCAAGCTTCTTCCTTGGACCCACTTTACTTGCCTGACAGCCCCGCCCATACACAGTGCACCCGTCCTGTGTGCGACTTAGACCCCTTAGCCTTGCCTTCCCAGACCATGATCAAAACCAGGCCCCTTATCTGCCTCCTTTTCCGGTGCTTCCTTTCTCGGGTCTAGCACCCTTCCTCCTACTTTCCTTTTCCGGTGTCCCCACCATGTTCCAACCGCTCTGGGACCGCACACACTTGCCTTCCCTTTTGCAGTCCATCGTGCCCTCAGCGTCCGCCGGGTCCACGCCGCTGCTGGGCATGATGCTCCCGGTGTTGAGCGTCATGTTGAGCATAGCAGTGGGGCTTTGCGGAGGTCTGCTGCTCAGCATGCTGCTGCGGCCGCACTCGCTGTTGGGGGCCGTGCTGCCTAGCATGTCGCCGGCCACCACCTTCAAGTGAGGGAGGGAAGGAGGGTGCGGCTCCCTAATCTACTGGCTAAAGGTTCGATATTAGGAAAGCACCAAATTTAGTATGCTCAGATCTAGCTTACGGACAAGAAGTGTTGGGTTGTTTAGTTGTGGTTATCTTGTGAGGATGATGTGTTGATATGGAAGTGAGAGGCGTGAGGGCGGTGCAAATGACGGCTTCGGGGCTGGGCAAGGCGGCCCTGAAGAGAGGCGGTTGCGTTGGGCTCTTGGGACAGCGGCGGAGTGGGGTGATCTGTCGCGAACTGCCCCCCTGCAATATCCGTGGAGGATGCGCATGCGGACAGCATGGGGGGGGGGCGCACAAGATGTGTCGTTGGTGGGAAGCAGGATGACGGCTTACCTTGCAGCGGTCTAGGCCTGGTTAGCCACTTCCGACGTTACGTTTTGCAACGCCCCATCGAATACCTCACTCGTCTATTGTCTGGAAGCCGAGGGCCCCATGAACCGATCGTGGCACCGTGCAACACTGCCGCCGATAGCATAGCCGGTTTAGGTTGACCGGCCTGGCCAGCGCTCGAACATGGCCTCTCGTGGTCTCGTCTGCTTGCTCCTTTGGCTAAACACCCTTTCCTCCACATCACCCTGCCACGCTACGCCCCACCCAGGGTTAAGCAACTGGTCATCTTGCTGGTGTCCACCGTCATATTCAACATGGCACATTACTTTGAAGCAGAGCCGCTGCTGGCTTGCGTCACTATGGGCCTGTTCATGGTCAACAGAAGGTGAGAGAGAGAGAGAGTGTGTGTGTGTGTGTGCTCATAAAGAGGCTTAGCGATGCAGCGGCTTTGTTCGCAGCGTCGCTGCACGGCGAGCTGCATACGTTCCTTGGCTACCTCGCCATGTCCCACCCCTGCACTGTGTGTCGTGTCAGCGAGAAAGCGTTGTGGCCCCACCCGAACCCTAGCCGTGTGTGCGCCCTGTGCCCTGAACGTTCTACACGATTATGGACGCTCAAACCTGCCGCGCGAGCCCTTGTCCTTCCGTAGCCTTACCTTTTCAACGCCCTTTACCAGCTGCCCGCCCTTCACGAGCGAGGGTGAAGTCCAGAGGGGCCTAGACCGTGTACTCACCTGCATTGCTTTTAAATCCAGGCCGCACTTGCCTGCCCGTTGGGTCATTAGGCACGACCGTGCTGACAAGGAGAAGGAGGAGCTTCACATGATGGTCAGCCAGATCATGAGTCTCACCAACGTGGCCTTTTTCGGGCTGGCGGGTGCATCACTAAAAGTGGTGGGTCCGGTTTCGGGGGCCTCAGCTGGGCTTCAGGAGAATTTGGGAAGACCTGGGTGAGGTGGTGAGGGAGGGAGTTAGGAAATGGAGTTCAGTTACGGCCTTGCGGACTCCATGACGCTTACTGAGGCACGTTACTGCCCGCAAGGGGGAGAGCGTGGAGGTGGAGGGCAGGCTGTCGGGGACGCTTATCTTTGCGTACACCTTGTTATCCCTCCGACCTGCTGGCCTGGTCGGAGGCGCTTACCTTTCTTTGCGTATCCCTCTCCTTTTGGCCCTGCACAGGGGGCTCTGAAGGACATGTTTGGCGCTGCACTGCTGGTGTTCGCTGTGCGGCTGGTCGCCATCTTCGTGGGTTCCTGGCTGGGCTGCTACACCACCTCCACGTCCTCGGAGTACCGGCGGCTGTTCTGGATGTCCATGATCACGCAGGCGGGGGTGGCCATGGGGCTGGCCCGCCTTGCGGGCACGCGCTTCCCAGACTGGGGCCCACACTTCCAAACATATATGGTAGGTAGTGCAACGGAGGCAATGGAGGGCAACGGAGGCCAGCGGAGTGATGGTGGGGAACGGACAGATATATGTGTTTGTAATGGGGACGATATTGGAAATGTGGGTGAGCGCGAAGGCCTTGGGAAGGATGTACATGCAGAAGGGGGAGGAGATGGCGGCTGGCGCGTTGCGTGTCGAACCTTGCGTTATCCCTTTACTTGAGCCTCCACTCTTTAATCCCTCTCTCCAGATGGCCATCATTTTGCTCAACCTGCTTGTGGGTCCACCGCTGTTTCGCCATGCGCTGGTGCGTGTGGGCGAAGCCAAGGCGCTGCTGCTGCCCATAAAGGGCAGCGGTGGCGGTGCAGTGGCACAACAGCTACAGTTGGGGAGCATCCTAATCAAGGAGAATGGCGGCGGAGGCACCTCGCTGGATGGAGGTCTGACCCACCAGCACGGCCACGGGCACGGGCTCGGGGACGAGGACTCACCTACGAAACCTGATCGTGACCTAGACCAGTAAAGGGTGGGCAGGTCTGAACTTAACACCAAAGCAAGAACCAGATGAAATGTACGGTAGCGTTGGCAAGTGGCTGAGGGTTTTGCTGCCTTCCTACGGCAGTGGCACAACATTGGGGCGTGATGTGATAAGGCCCAGCCACCTGTGAGAAGAGCAGTAGGTGGGAAGGGAAGGGAAGGAAAAGGCGGGCGCGGACGTGGGCGGGGCCCTAACCCAGCGCAGGTCGTTGCTGGCTGCGTGTATAATTTGTGTATGCGCTTGCTGTAGTTCCGGGATGGCCCTTACCGCGTTCCGCTGTTTTTAGTTGTCTGGTCGTTGTGATGGTAGTGGTGGTGGTGGTGGATTTAGTAATGGTGATTTACTTGTGACCTAATATCCCGACAATTGTCTTGAGGGCCAAGCTACGGATGGGTTCGGTGAGCAAGCGGCGAAGCGCAGAACAGTGACTGAGGGGTGTGAAGAGGGAAGTGCACAAAGGACTAGTGTGTATGGGCTCATGGGTACGGATTTGGTCGATCCACGCGGCAGCACACGTGTTCGTTGCCATGAGTCGAGTGTCGACTTCGTGGAAATGAAGTGGGGCAGGGGTTGGACCGGCGTCGGGCGTGCAGGAGGTGGCGCGCGATAGCGCAGCAGGGCAGCAGGCGGCGTTCAGACGCCCTTGGACGCGTCCAACACACCTCCCTCCAGTGTGCACATGCTGGATGGCAGCAGGGGTGTGTGCAAGTAAAGACACTGAACCTTGGATAATAGATAAGTGAACCCGTGGTGAAGGTGGACAAACAGCCAGGCACCAATTGACGAGTGTGGGTAGGTGAAGAGGCGCGAGTTAGACCAGGCGCCTACTTGCCTTGGAGAGAACAGCACCGACCAGGCCGACCCAGCACCGTTGGGAAGGTATTGTGTGCAGTAGACAAGGGCGGTGGTGTAATGTGTTGGGGTGATGGAAGTGTCGGGATTGTGATTTGAACCAATGTACGCATCTCTAACCGAGGTGTTCAGTGGGCAGCCGGGGATGTTCCTTGTTGATGCACTCCCTGTGGTGGGGTGGCCATGACGCGTAGTAAGCTGTGTGCGACTAGACGAAGGCGTGTGTGGTGTCTTATTTGAAGTCGTGCAAACATGGGGGGTTTGCCTGGTGCAACGCATTGCTAAAACAAGCGTAGCCGCAGCTTGTCAATCGTGTTTCTTGCATGCACTGGACGTATTGCAGGCGCATCGACGAGGAGTGTGCGCCCGCCATATGTGCTTCAGCTGCAAATCAGCAGTGCAGTGCTCAGGCCTGGGGCTTGTTGGGCAGTCACAGATGGGGCATCTGGCTGCTCCTATCTCTAATTGAGCATGCAAAGGATGACCGTTCCATTTTGTGTTAGCGTGAAGGTGTGTGGGTTCTTGGCGAGTCTCCCGCAGTGGAAGGGGGTCAAGGATGGCTTAAACGCGGCAGTTGGGGGGAGGACGCCGCCGGATCCACGTTTGTGTGCCCTGAGCTCATAGACACGAGCCGCTTGACGGGATTGTTACAAATACGACTTACCTAGCAATGAGGGCAACTGTGTAGGAGCGGATCCCATTTCCGATTGCGCTTTTCTGGAATCCCGGATGTGTGTGTGAGTCGGGGATATGCCAGGGCACGGAAGGCACGTTTTACCAAGTCCTAAAATAGCTGGCTGTGGGTATGGGCGTCAGGACGGGCCCTGCTCAGCAAACATAGGACGATCCCTTCTAATGAACCGCTACGCCTGCAGCTGCTTCGGCAGCTCTTCGGGTATTGTTTCAGATGCCATCCGCAGCGCTATAAGACCTGTCGTGCTGTGCAAGACTTGCTTCCTTCCGCACGTTCTTTGCAATGAGAAAGCCAGCTGGGCAGCTGCTTCAAGCCCTGGCATCTGTGTTGAGTGCCCGGACTGTTGAGCTGCTGTTGAGTAGGGCTATTGTAATCCTCAGCAGGTCGCGATGTACGTGTTCCGATGTAAAACTTAACAAATAATGAATGTCTTGTTAGCCGTTAACTTAAAGGAGGGTGCAGTGCTACTGCCTCCGTGCCAGTCCCAATGCCTAAGGCGGTGTGGACCGTGTGATGGTGGCGCCGCCGGTGAGGTGAGGTGTCTGTTGGCTACAGGCTGGCTGGCGGGTGAGGGCGCGTGAGGGTGCGGGAGTCAGGTGAGATCACGGCCCCAAAGAGAAAAAGCGACGTCCGGCGGTGGTGGGATGTGCTGCAAGACATACAGCACTGTCGCTGACCAGGTGGCCTTACGATCGTCCATCCAGAGTTGCGCAAACACGGCAAACACAGGCTTAGGTGGCCGCTGCTAGAGGCTGAGAGATCGCGGGAGCTGGAGTCTTACGATTTCACTGATACTTGCATATGTTTCCAGCCAGGTGGCATTTGCCAATGACATTACTGTCACTTCTACATGCCCGTGTCGAATGCCCATTGCTTATTGGCAAACGCACGTTCCGCTACTACTACTCCACTGTAGCGGGATAGATTCATCCCATGTAAACGTGCGCGCATATGTGCCTGCGCGATGCCAGGCGTTTGTACTTTTGCATGACGCCGCCGATGCTCTCACGCCCTGACCGGTGCTGGTAGGCCATTAGTGGTGCACCGACCGTGGTGCACCGATCGCCTTACCGTGACCGGTATTTGCCTGTTTTTAAAGGTGGAGGATGGGGGGAAGACCCGGCTTGCCGGCGAAGGCAGGCTGTAGCAGGGAGTAACCCCGGCAGATCATCTCTTTCTGTAATCTTGCCGTCTGAACTTTCGGCGCCTGATTAGAAATCAAAGACAAAAAACAGCTGGGCGACATTAAGCCGACGCCAGCATTCTCGAAGCCGGCAGACGGCAGCCTCGCGGCAACCTGGTGATGCAATTTCAAGTATCTTATGTACGCAGTTGCGCTGGTATAGCAGCGAGAATCTCGTCGTTCCTTTTAGGTATCGGCATCGGCATCGGTAACTATCGCAATCGACGAGGGACGCTGCGCGGACATCTCCCTCCCAAGATGATTGTCACAGAGAAAATTATTTAAGATCTGTTGGCCAAAGGGGAAAGCGTACACGTGCGTATTGAAAGAACGAAGCCCAAGATGCTTATGGTTGATCTGCACTGTCTGCACCGCATGCATTCCACGCGTTTAGTCAGAAGTTGGCCAAGAACCGTGCATCCGTGTGGGCGCGCGGGAGCTTCAGCTGTTATTGCAACACCACGCAATGCTTTGGTGGGCATCCAAGGTCCAAAAGACAAGGTACTTAATTTCATCGGTCCGTACCGTACAGCTTCGCTTCTCTCCGCGCTTCTCTCTCGCCTGCGCAGTTATTCCTTTCTCACGTCTTCACCTTACGACCACAGCACTTTTTCTACGTAACAAAGTTTTCCCATATGATTTCGTCAACTCTGTAGTCATGTTGAGCGCCTTTTGCAGTACAAGGCTTTCGTAGGTTTACTATTCGCATCCATAATCGTGTTCTTCCGGACTACTTACTACTTGTTCTTACGCAGCAAGGATGCACAGCAATGCAGGAGGGGCCTCCTCAGCCCGCATCCCGTGGCGTAACGCGGCGCAGCGGTTGGTTGAGGCCTCGAGGAAGGTGGGATCTTCACAGGGTCTTTCTTCGCACAGCGAGAAAGCGCGTCGTGCTGTGGAGGAGTCCTATGAACCTTTGACCCACGGGTCGCTAAACTGAAAGCGGGAAGCGGCGAACTGATTTTAAAACTTTTTCACCGTGATAATGTTTCTGTGGCCAAGTGGTTACTGCGAGGGGTTTTCTTTGGAAAACCACCATACAAAAAGTTTTCCAGCCAACAGCCCACTAGAACCATGCATTCGACGAATCCAACTTCACAACGCTCATTCACGGCTTTGAACAGCCAAGACGATGCTTATATATTGATCTGTTTATTTATACGGATATATGTACAGATGAAAGATTTGGCCGGAAGTATGTGCAGATAGATAAAACCCTAAAACCCCAAACCATTAGACAGACCAACAGATTAGACAGATTAGACAGATTAGACAGACCAACAGATAGAACCCAAACCTTAAGCAGCGCACACCGAAGCTTCTGACTTCACGCTAGCGCCAACTCCGCACTGCCCGTGGTGGTCTGCCCAGAGGTAGGCAGCCGACTCGTTCCAGTGCCGCAGTGCTGCTTTGTACGGAAAGCTTTTCAGCTGGTCACTACTACCGGGGGGGTCTGTGGCCCCCAATTTCTTGGCGACCACCACCTGGTTACTGGCAGGTGACTCAAAACATTTCCTAATGACCACCTTTTGGAAGGGAAATATTATTTCAGTAACCACTTGGCCACTAATAAGGCTGTAAGGCCCCAGCTGCTGGGATTTCGGGACCGTGTACGGCAGATGGCTGCGCGGGGTTTGCAACGGCTTCCCAACGCCAATTTGCCGGTTTCACGTTCTTCCAGATGGTGCTCAGGAACAACTCCTCCTACAGCTGCTGCTGCTGCTGCTCCCGGAGTCTATCTCGGAGTCGAACCACATAGCACAGCACAATTCCGTACAGCACATCGCAGCATAGCCCAGCACGCTAACGAGTCCATTCCTTGACACGTGCGCCACGGCGACTGCGGATCGTGCCCAGGACCCCTTCCTTCCTTCTGTCTGTCTGTCTGTGTCTGTCTGTCTGTCTGTCTGTCTGTCTGTCTGTCTGTCTGTCTGTCTGTCTGTGTCTGTCTGTCTGTGTCTGTCTGTCTGTCTGTCTGTGTCTGTCTATCAGTCAGTCAGTCTGTCCGTCCTCCGGTTGTGACGGCCCAAAATGTCGCCATCCCACTCTATCCCGCTCTTCCCCCTCCCTCCAAGAGAAAAAACCGCGTTTCACCTGGCCAAATCATCAAGGCATGCACTTTGCCACTACACACGTCCCCCATGACGCCAGAGATAAGACTTCGCGCATCCATAATCTCTGCAAGCCGAGAAAGCCGCCATGGTGCCGCCAGCTACCGGCCTTGCCGACCTGATCCGCACGGCAGGGAGGCGCAGGGGAGGGGGGGTCTCACCACCTGATATCCCACTTTCTCTATCTCTCTCCCGCTGACCCTGAAGATCCAGTTTACGAATCCAGAAAAATTACATTTAAAAACCCCATATTCGTACGAGGTAAAAAACCCATAAACCTGCACCGGGCGGTTACTCTCTTCCCCTCCCCTCCCCCATCTGCATCGCCCCCACTTCCCCTTCCAGGGCCCCCACGATGCGCACATAAGAGAGAACACTTGCGGCTGCGGAGCCCTGAAAACTCCCTCACCCTCCGTCGGCCCGTTTATCCGCCTACGAGGATACGACGCTGACGACGGCACCTGGCGCGCAACCGTTTTGTACGGCACCACGGGCGGATCCGCCGACGGCGCGGTATCAGATGCCGATGACGCCGAGGCGGCAGGAATTATTGACCTCGGTGGCTTGGAAGGTGACGGCGGCGGCGACGACGGCGGCAAAAGCGGCGGCGTAGCGGTCCCCTCGTCGACGGTGGCCGCGGCAGCGCTCCTCGGGGGCCGCCGTCAGCCGCCGCTGCTCCGTTACCGGATTATTCCTCACATCGCATCAGGTGTCTCCGGAACCAGCAGCGGCGGCGGCGGCGGCGGCGGCGGTGACAGCGGTGGTGGTGGCGGCGGCGGCTGCGGTGACACCAGCCGCCTGGGGAACGGCGGCCCTGCTGGCGGCGCCGCCACCTCCACGACGCTGCAACCGCTGCCGCTGGCGGCCTTCGGACGTCAGGTCTTCTGGCGGTTCAGTTTGACGGTGGGGGTGCTGGACACGGCGGCGCAATGGCTCGAGTACTGGGTGGAGGATGAGGTGGCGGCGGAGGCGGAACGCGGCCCGATGTACGGCGGCGTCGATGGCGGCGGCGACGCCTGGCCATGCACGCCGCGTCGGGTTTACATTCCCAGTCGCGGCGAGGGCTGGCGCTGGGCGTTCTATTCTTGTGCGGGGTTCTCTTTGGACGTTTCTGCCAGGGAGCAGGTCGACAGGTGGGTTGGGGGGTGGCTGCCAAGGTGCCCGGCTCCGGTAGAGGCGAGCGAAGTAGGGGGACACGGGCGATATCCGGGAATGTCAGTTGAATGTGGGTCATTTACTCCCCTTCACATTCACTTTTTTTTGGGGGGGGAGGGATGGAGGAAGGGGCTGTGCTGTATCCCATAATACCCCTAAGGTGGCACCATTACGTTGTGCCGATTTGGGTTTGTACAAAACCGTCCGTACAAAACCGCGGATCCGCTTTGTCAGCTTGTTGTACGATAAGAGTATATTGTACACAGCAAAAAACCAAACACCCGTCTGCGCCACGTCAGCCACATCGCGTGCCGACCCGGGCCCTTTCCGCGTTACCGGGCAACGCCACCAACGTACACTGTCGTACACCATACCATGTACGGTGTACGACAGGTTCTGCGGGTCTTTCCCGTTGTGGTCGGACCTGCTGAGCCGCCACCGGCAGCGGCCCTTCAGCGCCTTGGTGGGGGGCGGTGACCAGTTGTACAACGATGACGTGTGGCAGGTGCCGGCGCTGGAGGTAGGGGCGAGGGGTTTGGGGGGGGGGTTGGGGGGGAGGGTTTTGGGGGGGAGGGTTTTGGGGGGGATGGGGGGGAGATCGGAGTGCTGGGCCCAGGTTGCTGAAGATTTTGGTGTGCATGTGTGCTTTGTGTTGGTGTCGGTTTGCGTTTTGTTTTGGGGGGTTGTACGACATTATCCAGCCGCCTTGAGTTGCCGTCACTGCCGTCACACATTACGGAATCGCACTCACACACTCGCTTCTCTCGCACTCACACACTCGCTTCTCTCGCACTCACACACTCGCTTCTCTCGCACTCACACACTCGCTTCTCTCGCACTCACACACTCGCGGGGGGGATGTCGGGAGGTTGTGTTGTGTATTGACACGTGCCGGAGGTTTGACTCTCATCCCACGTTTGACACCACGATGCCACATGACACGTCGTCTGGGGGCCCCCGCATACACGCGCATCGCCCGCGCCATCAAACAACATGCCGCCTGTTTCATAGTCGTCAACCCCCCCACGTTTTGGGTTTACATTATGCTCTCCTTCTACTTCTACCCGGGGGTGGCTTCAGTTGATTGTTTTACATTTGATCCAAGTACACTTGAAACAAACACACGCATCACATACCTACGCATACATACGCATACGTACACACAATACATACATACATACATTCACACATCACATCCATATGTCCTAAACAGGCCTGGCTAGATCTGCCGCATCCCGAGCAACGGCTGGCGGTGCCTTTCACAACCCAGATGGCGACCCAGGCGCTGTCGTACTATGTACGGCATTACTGCACGCACTACATGTCCGAGCCGGTACGGGAGGCCTACGCCACCATTCCCCAGGTACGGGCTCGGGTACGTCTCATCTCCCCCAGCTACAGTCGGGCTTCCCCGAAAGCACCTGATATGTATGTTTGCAGGAGTGTTTCCCCACCCCCACCCCCACCCCCATCCCCACCCCCACCCCCGTGACCACAGGATTTTCTCGCCTCCCGCCCTCCACCTCGCTTTTTCGCATAACCTTCCCCCCTCTCCCCTCTCTCGCCCCCTCTCTCACCCCGCTCCAGGTCAGCACCTGGGACGATCACGACATCTTCGACGGCTGGGGCTCCTACCCGCTGCAGCTGCACAGCTGCCCAGTGTTCTCGGGGCTGCTGCAGTGCGCCCGGGCGGCCTACCTGCTCTTCCAGGTGGGGCGGCGGTGGCGGGGGTAGGGGTTCGGGGGTGGTGGGTGCGTGGGTGGGTGGGTGGGCGCATGAATGTGCCCAATTGGACCGTTGTTGTCTGTTTGTGTGATTGTGCGTGCTTGTGTGTGTGTGTGCGTGGGGGTTCGTGTGAGGGGAGTGTGGGGTTGCAGGCTAGGGACTGGCGGATGGGTAGCCGGGTAGGGGGGAAAGATCTGGAGCCGCCATCTCCCACGTACCACCCGCCCTATCCCCGCACGCAAAGAGCGCGCCACAGCGTAGCCCCCGCCCCGAAACCACCTCGTTTTAAACCCTAAGCCGTAACCCGTGGGCCTGATAAACTGATTCTGCCGTATCAGTTTATGAGCTTGCTTGCTCGTGGTTCTTCCCCTGCCCCCCTGCCCCCCCCGCAGCACCACACCACTGCCGAGCGAGCCGCCTCCGACGGCCTGATCCTCACCCCGGGGGGCGGTGTGCACAACGTGGTGGCGCTGGGACCGCGACAGGCGCTCGTACTGCCGGATCAGAGGGGGGAGCGCACTCGGTGGGGGCAGGGGGGGAGGGTGGAGAGGGTGTGGGGGTTGGGTGGGTTTGGGGGGAAGAGATGAACCACGAGCGAATGAAGCTGCCGCCAAGCAAAGAGTGCTGCGGCAGATGGGTTTGGGGAAAGGGAGAACGAGGAGGAGAGTGGGGTATGCATGTATGTATGTATGTATGTATGTATGTATGAATGAACGGACAGAATACAAATATCCTGTGTTCGTGGTTGCGTGTGTATGGGGTCCTGGCGTTACTGAGTGCAGGTTTCAGGTGCTTCCCCTGGAGTCGTACGCTGACGTGTTCGCGGCGCTCGTACGGCTGCCCCGCTCTGTACGGCATGTAATCTTGGTGGCCACCGTCCCTCTGGTGTATCCGCACATCGTGGGTTCGCACAGGTGCGTGCGTGTATATTTACGTACGTGTGTATGTGTTTGTACGTATGCACGTATGCATACGCATGTACGTCCCGCCCCGTGGCCCCTTTGTTTCCGCTCGCCCTCCCTCAGCTGACGATTTTTTTACTTACGGAACCACGGGTCAGTGACGACACCATCACTTCGGACTCCCTAGACAGTTTCCTATAACCTTGGGCGCCTTCCGGCCTTCCGGCAGTTGGTAACTCCTCCTTTCTTTCTCCGCGTTCCCTCCCAGGCTGATGATTTGCTTCCGAGGCCTGTACCGCAGCTCCTTCTTCCGGCCCCTCATGGCCAAGACGGGGGTCAGCTCAGCCATCATGAACAGATTCGGTGGGTGCCCCGGCCCGGCCCGGCCACCCAGGTGGTGGAGAGGGATACAGTCGTACATACGTGTATTGGCGCCGAACACAGCGAAAATGTGCAGGCGCCGTATTGTAAAAATATCTACCTACCCA